AAAAAAAAAAAAAAAAAAAAAAAAAAAAAAAAAAACAACCAACAACAACAACAACAACCTTGACGCTCATTTTTTTTATTTTTTTTTCAATGGGATTCAACGAGATTCAACGAGATTCAACGGGAATTGAACGGGATTCAACGGGATTCAACAGGTATTCAATGGGATTCAACGGGATTCAACGGAATGACAATTGTTTTTACTCCAGGCACGTCCAGCGACGTGTCCAAGGCCCAATGTGCCCTTCCCGTTGAACAGTATTCAACGGGGAGGGTCCGTTGTACTATTCAATGGGGTTTCAACGGGACCCCAGGGGCTATTCAACGGGTAGAACGACGTTGAAACTTTTTCGTTGCACGTTGAATAGACACACAAGCCCTGGAGGAGGCTATCCGTGGCCGTGCGACGCCATGGCAACCGTACAGGAAGGATTTTCGCACATCGGCGACTGGGGGTCGTCTGCGCAAACGCGAACCCTTGCCCCACAAACCAAAAAAAGAAAGAAAACTATTTTTTTGGGGGGGGGTCGTTAGCGTTGACCTTGGTGGGTAACGAAAACAAAATAGCCCCCCCCATTTTTTTTTTAATTCGCGACAGTAGGGGTGTGTAATAGGTGTTAAGGTACGTCTTTGCCAAAAATGAAAAAAATTCCGATCGCCGGAGGGGTTTGGGGCGGGGGGGAGGTTAATTTTTTTTGGGAGGTTTTGAGTGTGTTAGGCCGGCGAATCGGGTGGGGTTTAAACTTTAAAATGGGTGGGTTCTTGGGGGTGTAGGGAGTCTTTGCGGGTGCGGGGATTTGGGGGTGTTTGTGTGAGGGGTTTGTGTGGTTTATAACGGGGGCGGGGAGGGGGGGTTCTGATTGTGGGTGGTGGTTGGGGGTGTGTGGTGGATGGAGATTGGGTGGTGTACGGGGGGTTTGGGGTGCGGTATGTGCATTGTGTGGGGGTGCGGGGGTTTTCTGAGTTTGTGGTGTATAGGGGTTGTGTGGTGTATTAGGATGTTTGAAGGGGGCCGGGTCTTTGAAATGGATGGGTTTTGGTCCTTTTAGGGGTGTGGGTTATGGGCTTTGGGGGTGTGGACCGTATGGTGTGTGCTGGGGTGTGGGGGCCGGGTGTCATGCGGATTTTCCTTCTTCTTGTTTGGCAAATCTCTGGTGTGACCCATGCGGGGTTTTGGGATCGCATGCAGGAGGGTGCAAGTGAAACGACAAGTAGGGAAGACAGGGTTGTTGAGGGACGGTGGCTGGTTTGTGCATTCCACATTGTGCTATTACCCCGCCGAAAACTGCTCCTGTCCATTGTGCAATCCCTTGCACAATATAATCATCAGCGCCATTCCACAAATGCATTTGTGTACCAAATGACAAGAAACGTATGATGCTTTGTGATTATACAAAAGTTAACAAAAGTCTGCCACGTAAAACACATTGTGGCATTCATGATAGCGCAATAACGTAACCTGTAACTGACGGTTTCATTACATATCATACATGTCATTTGTTGCAAGTGTCGGAGTTTACAATTTATGAGATGATGCATCATGTTCAATAAGACAGAGGTCAACATGCATGCAATACAACACACCATGTTGCCAAACACACCGAAAGAGGCATAATCCACGGACAAAGGAGATAAATATGCACAAGTGAGATGTAGACTCATAGAAAACAATCATAGTACCAAGAAGGGAAAACAAATACAACTACTGCATGAATTGAACAACATGCCATATCAAATGTTTGTTACTCATATCAAATGCAAGGACCTATACACTATAGTTGTTACTAGTACACACATGTCTCACAAAACCCAAAACATAAAAACCCTACCATAACAATCCTTCACTAGCACACGTACCCTCTAAGGCTACTACCACACACGTGTTCTATGAAGGCAAAACAAAATGACATAAACAACTGCGAAACTGAAGTAAATGCGAAAAACGAAGCAAATGAATGTCAATCAGCCACTGAAACATGAGGAATATACTAATATTCACAAATCGACGTCTACCTCCTCCGTCCCCTGCCTGCTCCGCTGGATGAATGACTATGACGTGCACCACTCGCTCGTTGACCCTGTGCCGTACGTGTGCCAGCCTCAACCAATCTCGACTGCGTCTCCCTGCGGATGACACAATTGATAGGCTCCTCCCTTGTGTCGGCCTCTGAAGCACACACCGCTACCTGTGCCATAATCCTCTCGCACTCCCTATCGCGCTCGTCCTGCAACTCCCTCAATTGTGCCTCCTCCAAAGCAATACGAGCCTCCAACTGGTTAATGCTCGCGTGATGCCACTCTCCTTGAGGAGCCGATACACTGTCCTCTCCCGAAGTGTAGATCCTAGGCGCAACCCCGCGTGCAGCGACAAGTAGCAATCTACGAGCATGAAACCTGGACTCTCGAAGAATGGGCAAGCCATATCAATAACCTTCTCCCTCAATCGTGCCTCTCGGGTTATTCCTCACATGATCATTCACCTGTCGTACAGTGGACCACGGATGGTGATGCGACTGCTTTATCTCGAGGCACGGTAAGACGACGACGGAATGTAACCCTTGCCAGCAATATTCCATGTGGTTGACGCCGGTGTACCATCGTGCGTTGTCGGTGGAGGCGGTATAGGCAGGGGGATGTGCGTGTGACAACAAGCCCTCGAAGCCACCACTCTATGCATCTCTGACTCCTGCTGCTCGCGCTCCAAGCTCACAGGAGACCGAAAACACAAAGGGTTCAAAGGTGTGTAAAGCGGAGGTGAACGTACTCCAAGCCCGTAAGGTCTTGCACGTCCCTTGTGTGTGACATTCATCGCAACCTCCACTAGCACATGGTGCAACGTGTTAGGGTCGAGCGGTCCGGGTGTCATCTGCCCCTCCTCCATATGTGCTCGCCAACCTCCGACATCATGTGCTGGTCATGCTGGACCATCCGCCCCCTCCTCCTCCATACCCCGTCCTCCCTCCACATAAGGGGATGGAACCTCAACTGCCGCCGGTGAAGGATCCAACAACACTAATGCCAATGCTACATCAGCCGGTTCATCACCCTATACAAGTCCTCCTGCATCACCCCCGATCGGCCCCTGTGACAATCGACATTAACCGACACTGTCCGATATCGAGCGCATCTGCTCCCGTCTTTTTGCAAAGTGCGGAAGCCCTACTGACCATGTCACGCCGGAGAAAAAGACAAAACCCAAAACAGGAGACAACTTGGGAGCGACGCAAAGTAACCCTGCGAGTCATCGAGACGGCTGCGGTCGTGTCGTTCCTTCGCCGCTCTGGCCGGGTGTGCCAGCAGTACATCCCACGGGAACCTATCCTGTCGTAGGGGACCGCGAGATGTACTGCTGGCGCACCCGGCCATACTGACGAAGGAACGACGAGACCACGCCCGCCTCGACGGTTCGCGGGGTTATTCTGCGTCGTTCCCGAGTTGTCTCTTGATTAGGTTTTGTTTACTCCTACGTGACATGGTCGGGAGGGCTCTCGCATTTTGCGAAAAAGGCGGGAGTTGATGCACTCGACATCGCAACAACAGGACGCCCTGCGCCACCCGCCCTAGCATCGTCCTCAACATCGAGTCCATAACATCTCACCAACCTGTTTGAATCACCCTCCACGTCAACTGCCTTCTGAGTCGATCCATGAGCCGATTGGAATGTGCCTGCCACACAAAGTCCAACAATGACATTGGACACGACCGGATCTCCATACTCAGATGCACCACAACCTCTTCCCATTGCGGAACCGGAGTCGACATCAGTATGTCCTAATGACGGGGGTCTGCCTACGTCGTACTGTGCGTCGACTGTAGGTATAGGAACGGGTTGGTCAACCCCGCCAGCAGCCGGAGCTGGTGCACCGGTCTCTAAGTCTCGAATCCGCCGCTGCTGCGCCATGTACGCTTGTTTGCCATCCCAATCTCTTCGCAATTGCTCCTCCTCTCTATCGATGAGGGCATGGAGCTCCTCTGTGGACTCCACTCTACCAGCCTCCATCGGATGGTACTCGACGTCATCCCCCATTCTCCTTCGCATGTGCATCGCGCAACGAGCACCACTGCCATAAGTTTCGTCTCCATGCCCATGGAAGTTGCTCGTGCGCAACTCGGTTTGCTCCCTATCACCTCGAGGTTCTGATGTGGGTGTACGCTGGCTAGGTAAATGTGGCTCTGCTGTGATGTCATCGAGGTGGTCCGACACCTCTCGTCTATGTCTTGGAGGTGAGGTGGTGTGCCTCTGCAACCTCTATGATCATCTAAGGCCCTTAGAAGTTGCTGCTGCCGCTTGTGCCAAGTGTTCCCTATGATCCAACAACGGCTCGTAGTTGTCGTCGTTGTCTGTGTTGTCCACCTTTGTGACCTTCCTACCTGACCTCTGGCAGGAATGCACCACTCGTCTCGCCGGACGAACCACCCTGTCCTCTGCCCAACCCTAAATCCCTGGTGGAGATGGAAGGGTTCACACGCTCACGAATGACGGTGGTGTGTGGCTGCAATCCGTCTGACCCTCAACCGTATGTGTAGTAGAGTCTCTCTTCACTCTTATCTACACCAGTTGTCAAATCCTCATGGTCCGTCCAATCCTCGTCATCGGATGCAGCGTCCCGTTCCCCCGACCTCTGCATCGTCTCTGGTGGCGAAGGAGGCACGTAGTCGCAAGGATGGATAATCACGGCTCTGGCCCAAAAAACCTCAGCAACCCCCACTCGCCGACGTGAACCCTCACGTTAGAAGAGACCAATCTGCGCACTCAACTCCTGTAACGACACTGCTGACTAAACTCTCGCTCCCCACACCTCTGGCTCGGGCTCCTCCTCCACGTCCAAGTTCGCAACCACAGCCTCATGGAGAGGGTGGGTGTACTTGTCCGACTGCGCCTCCGCCAAGGTCGCTAGGTGACCCCACTGAAGAACGTACCCCCCAAAGGGTTAGCGATCCCTTCAACTCCGGGTATCACGCGTCGTGCTCCACCCACCATAACGCTGTCGAGCGCATCGATCTCGCACGGGGACCCTCCCGACCGCGTCACGCAGGATTTGGCAGGACTTGTCGCGGAGAGCGTTTGCCGCTCCGGCCGAGTGCGCCAGCCGTACCTCTCGCGAGCCCCTACGACAGGACAGGGTCACGCGAGGCACCGCTTACCTCCACCCGCGGGAGCTGTCACCATCCCTTAGGTGGGTGTATCCCCGTCGAGCTACTGAACCACATGCGAAGGCTTTTCGTATGCAATTGCAGAGGTGGCCCAGCCGAGGGCGTCTCTCGTTCGCTGTAGCATAGGGGGTACGCGCGGTCGAACGCCCAAAAATCGAACCGGCACGCGATTCGACGCACTAGGGGGCTGAGGCCCCAAACGCGACTCGGCGCCTGTCGACTAGGACGCATCACGCACACCACAGGTTACACCACAACACTCACTCACATGGACGGCCACAAAACAAATAACACATGGAAAAACACAACACAATCACCACAAACAACACCACAACACTCACACTTCTAGTCCCTTCAGTATCGAACCCATAACTATATGCCGCGAGAATCAGATAGGCATTGCGCACTGACTTTTAGTACAAGAGTCGAGCGGGCGCATGGCCTCCTCATATCCACCAGCCATGTGGGCATTCGCAAGCATTCGTGTTGATGGGGTACTGCGTAGTACTCGTAACCACGCGGCCCTTGATAACCTCGAGGGTCGTGTTTGACACTCAAGTGTCGGCTGACAAGTGCGTTGAGGGGTTACCTTCTCGGCGCTAGACAACCGCCATGCGCGGTTGACGACCACACCCTCTTCTGCACCCTGTGCAGAGGGGTTGAGTAGACAGCTTCAGGGCTGTCGTGGTACCCAAAATCAAGGGGTTTGGCTTTGACGGCTACCACGGACTACAACGTCCAACTATGGAAACTTTAAAGAGGAACCAACTACAGATAGAAGGGGAGGATCGCTCCCTTTCCTTTCTCTGTCTAGCCCATAGTCTGATAGCCGTCTCAAATGGAGGGGGTAGGTCAATGCGAAAGATGCGCATGGTTAAGGCCCAAAATCGGACCCATCGGCAGCCCGATGTTCGAGACGTTGGAGGCTCGTACGCGGGTCCCCATAAGCCGACTAAGACTAATACCTCGCTCCCGCGTCGTTTCACGCCGCCGAAGCTCGGGTGCACAGGCCACAACGCGCTTTTGCCCTCTCTGCTTGACCCATAACTTTTGAGCGCGGAAATCGGCAGGCGCTGCGTGCGTGGGTTAATATAAGACAGCACGGACGTAGAACTTGCGCATACCGACCAACAATGCGGACTCCTGTAAGCAGTCGTGAAGTCGGCGCACTCTGTAGTGCCCATACCCGAGTGGCCTCATTTGAGCCATGCGGTCGCTCTCGACGCTCAGGTGTCGGCTGAAGCGGACACTAAGGGGGGTAAACCTTTAGCGAGCGCAAAATGGTCTGAGGGCCTTATCACCTTCTGCACTCTGAGGTGTCCTAAAGGGTGAGGGTAAGGTGGTCCCTAGGGCAGGAAGGAATTCGGAGCGGTGGTGAGTTGTGTGGCGCATCACCAGCAACACGCTAAACCTTCCACCCGGAACTTTATCGTTCCACCAAAATAAATTAAAACAAGGAGAAAGAAAAACGATCACTTTAACGCTAACAGGAGAAAGCACGAACGCCCCGTCGGGCAGAGTTGCTGGGGGCTGTGTGTCCGATTTTGAATTCAATGCGGGTTTCGCGTTGAAAAATTCAACGCGCGTTGAATTCGCGTTAAACTTCCGTTCAAACGGGAGTTGAACGCGAATTAACGGGGTCCGCGACGATTTTTTCCGTGGCAAAAACTTATCCAAAAAATATATATATATATATAGGGTTGTAGGTTTTCTTGAGGACTACAACCCTGTATTGTTATTTTGATTTTTTTATGTTTAAATATATTTTTATAAAATCAGAAACATAAACACACAATGAAAAAAAACAGAAACTAAAATAAAATGAGTGTTTTTGTTTTGGGTTTCACACATATTTTTTAAGGGCTAAAACAAAAACAGAAAAAAAAATAAAAAAATATAGGGTTGTAGATCTCTCAAAGACGTACAACAATTTATTTATTATTTATTTTTTTTAGAAGTCCATGTGTTTTTAAAAACATCAAAACCATAAATAAAAAATAAAAAAAAGGAAAAAAAGACACACACACACACAAAATTGGGCCTGTAGCAGGTTGCATGAGTCTTTCGTCAGTTGGTTGAGAGAACCCAGGCCCTGGGCCGCCTATGTGAATGTATGGAAAGCAGGCCCTGGGCTGGATACGGGTACTGGGCCAAACACAGGCCAAGGGCAGTTAGGGGCATGCAACCACCTCAGGCCCAAGGCCTGTTTTCGGTCGTGCTGGGCCTCAGGCTACCGGGGCCTACTGGAAGCTTCCTGGGACTGAACACAGGCAGGCCACTTCGATAGAGCAAAGGGCCTACCTCCACATTGGGCATTTGGGTGTTGGTTGCATGCTGCGTAAGCGCTGCCGCGTTGTAGCTCGCTGACACTCACGCGCTCACGGGCGAGCAGGAAGGAGCAGACAGCCATAGCCGAGCTGCGTTGCTGTAAGCTGGGTGTGGCGCATGGTGGTCCTTGTGTGCAAGTGGCATCTGTGTGTTGAGGAACGAGGTTGTGAGTAAGGCGAGATACATACCTGGTGCTGGAAGGGTGCGACATTGGCCGCTGTATGCTCGTACTTCGGGAAAGTTGTTGACGCCATCTTCGACATTGTAGTCTAGGCTAGACAGGATCTGCCATCTGTAGTCTGGGCGTCGAGCGCAAGATAGGATATCAATTGGTTCTTCATTGATGATGATGATGACACTTTACCAGCATTGTCAATTATGAGCTTTTGATGTCTTCTTATTTGGTGAAACTCGTGATGCAAGTCTGTTGTTGGTTCGAGGTCCCGACTATCTGGTCTTGTGTATATGATGCTGTTTGATTGCTTAAGTTCGCTATTGCTCATCTTCCTTGCACAGTAGAAGAGGGAAAAAAAAAAAAACACAGACCCAAATCGGCCGCCCAAACCCATATCGCCCGCCCCGAATTTTCAACGGGAAAAAAATGTACTTCTCAAAAGGGAATGGACACACACCAACAATCATGCACACACACACACACACACACACACGCACACACACACTTACAAACACACACATACACACATATGTGCACATACAGCACACCTACACACACATAACTGGGGCGTTGGGGGTTGGGGGATGTGGGGGCGGATGGGAGATGCTTTAGGGGTTGGGTTTTTTATTTTTTAATTTATTTAAAAAATATATATTATTATCATTTATTTTTACTTTTTTGCGTAGGGCCACGTGTTCCGGACCCCGCGCATCAATTCCGTTTTTCTGAAAAGCACGGGAGCGGCCCATTTTCGCGTTCAACGCAAATTCAACGGGATTTTTTTGAATTTAACGGGATTCAACGGGAGTTTAATTCCCCTGTTCTCTGATAAAAAGATACACAGGCTGTGGGGCAGCCCCTCATTCTCGCGGCGTTTCGGTTTCCCCTGGACGGCAAGTAAGTCAATGTCCTGTTAAGGACCTTGAACTTCAGGCCTGGGACTAACGTCCGGCCAGATAAAACCTTTGAGTAAGGGAATACGTGAGCGTGAGGTCGCACAACCCTATAAGGATTATCCGAGCGTATGCTTACTTTGACTATCACATTATCAGGATGTGAAAAGAACGATCTCACTCAAACAAAAGGTTGTGAGGTAGTTCACTCTCACGACAGCTGTGTGGTTTGCCCATTTGAATCCAGAACATAATCATTCACCAAATACTTAATCTAGATCCTTTCACAGATACCTGCAATCATACGTACAGTATTCAAACAACATCACACACACTAAAGAGGTCAACTTTTCAACCTTTTTGCAACTCACACCCTGCCTTATGCACATAAGCCCAACCATTTCTCCACCAGTCCTCAACAAAAACACTCAGCCTTTAGAAAATGGCCATTTATAAAGAAACTGGGTGAAAACCCCAAAGGAACACATAAATAATGGCAAGTGTCAAGGCCTTAGGTTGAATGGCAGGAGAAATAGGAAAGTTGAGTCGTAAACCGACGAATCGGCAACCG